TTACCCTTAGTTTATATACCTTTCAATTTCCTAAGTTGATTTACATGAATAACTTGAACTATTATTACATACATTCACATTCAATTTGATATAAGCAAAATAAGGTTCATAAAACTGACCTAATAAAGTAAATCTCCATTGAAACAAATTAAATGTTATTACTATTCTTAAGTCATTGAAGCTGAATTGAAATTGAATTTCGAGATCACCTCTTTAGAACATTTTGCTTAATTTAATTGACTTTAATTTCGTGTAAATCCTATATTACCTTCTACTCTTTGTTGTTATACATATTATACAGATAAAGTAAAGAAACTAAATATCTGAATATACATATTAAGTACTTATTAACTTCTGTATTATTTTTCAAAATTGACCCATTTAATGTATATAGTATTTTCATTATTTAATATAAGCTCAAAACTTTCATCAGTCTAAGTACCAGTATAAAAAGCAATTTAATTTTAATACTTCTTTAAAAGACACCTATAATGTAAAAAGATATGAAAACTAAAAGCAATATACTTAATGAATTCTATTTTGGTGAAATATTGAATTCATTAGAATCTACTTTCTTTATAAAATTTCTTAGCATATTTAAAAAGAATCTAATTTGATTAATTGATATTACTAGATCAAGATAAATTAAAAGAAGAAAAAAGAAATAAAATAATATCATTTATTTTCATATTTATTTCCAAATTATATGAAAAATATAATGTATCTTTCATGCATTTGGTTTTTCTTTTTTTAATCTCATCTATTATAATATAAATATATACTTCATTAATAAATGATTTAACAAAATTTGGATATACTTTCCAAAAGAGTAAAAAATTATCGAAAAATTCTTCATTGTACTTGAATTCTCCATTAATTGTTAATAAGAATAATTTGGTGACAAATATGGATTCAGAGGTAATTCATCATCTTTTTAATCTCTTAGCGGTAGTCGATCTAAAGTAATTATCAATAGATTTTTGTTATTAGGTGAGAATTTAAATATAATGTCTTATTCATCATTTAAGAGGGTTGAACTAATTAAATTATTTAGACTAATTATTACTTAATTGTAGGAATTGGATTATA